CTTCAAGCACAAACTGGATGAAGCTTTGACAAGTCTTAAATTCCAACATCTGTAGCAGTTCACAGAACAAGGATAAATTGACATTCGTCCACTTTCTATGAACTGTGAATTGATTCATCTGTGCTAAACCCTATGGGATTAGAAAAGCAACCGCTTGTATTTCCCATAATAAAACTTTGACTACTGCGGCATGCTCGGCTGACACTAATGAGTTAATTTGTTACACACCACGGCATAATGAGCATTAACGCTCATAAACATCATGTTTAGGAAGACCTGTTGTTCACTTACAGTTATCGGTAAGCTCTGAGATATGGAGCGCAAAACCACACAATGAGCCAGAGGCGATATTTCAACCGAAGAGCCAATGACATATTTTTGTTACACACCCTAGCGAGATGAACAGCAGGGATAAACCCCGGAATCACGGGGCTCATTGTTTGCTTACGGTAATTTAATCTCTGGAACCTGGATTGGCGAGTCAAATAAGACCATCATAATTGGGTGGAGGGATTCGAACCCGAACACTGACAAACGGAACATGCACTGAAAAACCGTTGCTCGCCACACAACCTCTGACTTACGCATTGGAATGTGGATATTTTTATGATCTACAATTATCCCGTAAAACAGTTTATTTTTATCCTTTTTATCCTGGGTATTTGATGCGTCGCCAACTGCCGACATGTGGCGCACATCGCACACGCGCAAAATGCTTTTTGCTAATACAACAGCGCGGAACCGTCTCTCATTTTAACCTGGGTAAACTTGAAGACATGAGGAAGGCACACAGAAAAACATACGTAAGACTTCGCGATTTGTGCTGATTTGGTCTATTCAGGAAAAAATGCCACGGTATAAAGTAAACAAAAGATAATCGATTGTCAGGGGGCGAATTGGCACCTCTTCATAAAGAGATACAACTCAAAGATGATGCAATAAAAAAACGAACGAAAATTACCGTATATTTTCCAATCTTTCACGCTCCTGACGCTCTTTTTCTAGTCGCGCTTCTTCCTCTTGACGTAGCTTTTCGGCGAGTTCCTGTTTCCGACGATCCAGTTCCACTTGACCCTGGCGGAAATTTTCTCGGCGTTTGTCTTCAAAACTGAGAGCTGGACAGTTCCCATGATGAAGGGGAAACAATGGAGAAAACGGACATATGATCAAGCATAGACTACCGAAACGCAACAGCGAATTCGGATGGAAGGTGGAATTCCGACAAAACTTTGCATTAGTGTCATACGAAGAAAAAGGTAAAGGGAATACCAGAAAAAGGTACCTGTTATCCATAAACACAAAAAGGTTCTGGATTCAGACGTTGATGAGATCAAAACCTAACCAATCTGATTTGCAGTGAATTTATAATACAAAAAGTATCCTTTTTCCTTGTGGCGGTACGATAGAATTCGGAAAACATTTACATCCTTCCAACAGCTGGTGCTTCATAGTACAAATCCACGTCAATTGTTACCAAACACGGTGCAAAACAATCAAAAACATCGCTCAGTATGTAACGGTGCCTCAAGTGAAAGCTCGAATAACTGGTTAGGAAAACTGGGACTCACAAGAAGCCTTGTTCTCATCCTCATTTTCGGTTGTCTTCTGCTGTTGAACTGATTGTGTCTGACCGGTACGACGATTCTAAATCGGTAAAATCGTCGAATAAGGCAGGTGAGAATAGGCTGTCTGTGATCTGACAGGTCGAAACCTGAAACTAGCGATAAACTAACACCAAACATAAAAGTGTACGGTGAAACACAAAAAATGTAGCTATTCTTGTTACATACTGTTATCCATTGTAACTGTCTAACCTCTAACTCACTCTGTCTCGTATCCCGATCCCCCCATCCCCTGTTATTGTTATTACTGTTGTGGCGTTGGCATCATGCTTGCCCGCAAGCCGGTGATAAACATATATATACAATAAGTAATGTATGAATGACTCGACAAAATTGCCCTGGAAGCAAATGACCGGTCTCGTGGTTCTGGCAGCTCGTCAGGCTTGCATATCCGGTAAGCGTTTGTCGTGTAATTCATATACTATTATATATATATATATATATAATGTATGGATTATAAACTACGCAAACAGCAATTCAATTGACTTAAGTGTATGGGCGACGGAGTGAAACATATTCAGTGGTCGATTTGTCATTGTTTGATACGATGTCTCGCCTTTAGTAATGGGCCCCAGGTGATTCGTAGTGTCAGGCTCCAGGAAGTAGCTTGATTTCCATTAGGTTATAACGGATTATACTCTTTCCAAAATTAGCCCTGAAGCGAATGTTCATTACTTCTCTTACCATTTTGTCATGATTTCTCCCCCATACTAAACATTTTGACATAAATTGCGATGCGTTAA